ATTCTGGGGTTTGTAGTTTAATGAGACTGTTAAAGACTCCTTCCTAAACTACAAACCCCAGAATTCTGCAGGAGGCAGGAACCAGATTTTAAGTGGATTTTTTCTCTAGTGTGATGAGCAAGATGCCCCAGGAATGTGGATTAAATGCCTCAGTACTTTGCTAATTTTGCCCTTTCTGTGTTGGTTTTTGCACGCCTTTTGTGTGAAAAAGTTCCTTAAGAACCATGCATACAGTAAACTGTCACTGGTATGTGCAACTACAGTTCAATGTGATGTTCATCATTGTTAGTTAAATCGGAGCTTTCTATTTCCGTTGCGTTTTTCCTTCCTAAGATTACATCTATTGTTATGCCAGCCAGAACAACTTGTAGAAATAAATAAGGAATGTGATATCATGTCTCCGGCACAGTAGATTATTTGTGGTGAACCTGTGGTTCACTAAGTGTACAAAATTGCTTTGAAGAGCAGCAAAGGTTCCTTGCATTCTGTTTTGAACCAACTGCCTTGGATCTTTCCACACAATCATTTCTCAACCTAGGGGCCGGGACCTCTGGGGAGGTCATGAGGGCATATCAGAGGGGTCGCCAAAGACCATCAGAAAACATGTATTTCTGATAGTCTTAGGACCCTCTCTGGCAGAGAAGGCTGCATATCTCTCTGCGTGTTCTTCTCTTCCATAGGTGGTGAATCCTCCTACCAAAACCACCCCTCCGCTGTGATTGGCTGGCCTCTCAGCCAAGGGGAGGGCTGAGACTCCATGTGAGGAAGAGAGAGCAGGTGTGCTCGGCGCATGGCAGCGTGGTGCTCATGTGCAGGTGAAGGAGAGCATGTGAGGGTTGAGGGAGACTCGTACCAGCAAGTCCCTTCAAAACATGGAGGCTCTGTTTGGGAAGTTGGCCCAATTCTATCATTGGTGGAGTTAAGAATGCTCTCTGATTGTAGATTAACTATAAATCCCAGGAACTACAACTCCCAAATGACAAAATCAAGGTCTGGAAGTCAAACCCTATGAGACACAGCTTAGGGAGCCAGGTATATTTAGACTGGAGAAGGGAATGTTTTGAAGGGACATGATAGCCATGTTTAAGGGTGTTATCCCACACAGCCCCCCCCCCTCCATTTCTTGTAATACAGAAAGAAAATTATTTGTAATGGAGCCCATCAGATGATGCAGGAGAACGTCCTCCCTGCGCCCATCATGTCTCATCAGGGAAGTGTTTCTGAAATGTCTGGAAATGGAGGAGAAAGGAGATGGGCAGAGATCATCTTTTGAGCTCAGGAATCACTATACAACTGGAGAAAACAGAGGGAAACATATGGGATGGGATCTGTCACATTGGCCTGTGTTGAATCTCTTCAGTGACATGGAGTAAGGAGTGTTTCTATGGGCAGTCTCCTACCAAAGATTGACATTTCTCTCCCGAAATCCTGTTTTGTGAGCCTGGCATGGTATTTTTAAAAAATTATTTAATAATTTTAAATACCAACATTTCAAAATATCTCCACTTTGCTTTTCCAGCCATTTCTCCTTCTTGGGATTTCAAAATGGAGCTACAGCTAGCGTGTGAGATTGGGAGGAAGGAGAGGAACCTAGAGAAAGCAGATCAATGCCTCCTCTCTCCTTGAGAGTCACAGGATTGGAAYGGAAAGTCTGCATCCCCAAAATTGTGTCTTTCTTCCCAGATCAATGCTTCCTGTCTACTCAGAAGTTGCAGGATTGGAAGGAAAAATTTAGTTTCKCCCCAAGTTCCCCCCCCCCCCCAAGGCTTTCTTTTTTTTCTGCACTTGAAAATTTGATAAGTCTGAAAATGGATAAAAGGCAAGAAAGAACAACATGTGATGGGATCCGTCAGATGATACGATTTGCTTTCTAATTCAACAGGATTTATTGCCATGGATATTTGAAAGGATGTCATATTGAAGATGGTGCAAGGTTGTCTTTTGCTGTTCTAATGACTAATTAATTCAAACTACAGGAGGAAATTCCACCTAAGGCAGTGGTTCTCAACCTGTGGGTCTCCAGGTGTTTTGGCCTACAGTTCCCAGAAATCCCAGTCAGTTTGCCAGCTGTTTCTATTTCTGAGAGTTGAAGGCCAAAACATCTGGGGCCCCACAAGTTTAGAATCACTGACCTAAGGATTGGGAATTACTTCCTGATAGCAAGAGTTTTTCAACCGTAGAATATGCTGCCTTGGAGGATGGTGGTGGGCTTTACTCATGACTTGGTGGCCATCTGCCAAGAGTGGTTTCATTGCATATTTCTTCATAGAAAAAATTGGACTGGATGGCCCTGGTGGTCTCTCTTCCACCTCTATAATTTTATAGCTTTTAACAAGCTTACAAACTTAGGCAATCTGTCCCATGTAATCAATTGCTGGAATGGTCAATAGGTGGCACTGTGTAGTTATGAAATACCATCTGCCTCTGATGAAGCATGGTAGGTGTTCCAGTAACAATAACTGGTATGTTGAAACTAAAATATATATTGTGGTGCAATCTACCACGAAGCTTCAGCAGAGGTATGAAGCATTATCCTGAGTTGGAAGATGGCTATAGAGAAGAAATGGTAAATGACAGGCTGTATAAACCATGAAACGTTGAAAGCAGAATACAGTACTTTTATGTACCCCTTTAATTTCATGGGTGTTCCTAGTCATAGAATTATAGAGTTGGAAGAGACCTCATGGGCCATCCAGTCCAACCCCCTGCCAAGAAGCAGGAAAATTACATTCAAAGCACCCCTGACAGATGGTCATCCAGCCTATGTTTAAAGGCCTCCTAAGAAGAAGCCTCCACCACACTCCGGGGCAGAGAGTTCCACTGCTGAACAGTTCTCACAGTCAGGAAGTTCTTCCTAATGTTCAGATGGAATCTCCTTTCTTGTAGTTTGAAGGCATTGTTCTACATCCTTGTCTCCAGGGCAGCAGAAAACAAGCTTGCTCCCTCCTATGACTTCCTCTCACATACTTATATGGCTATCATGTCTCCTCTCAGCCTTCCCTTCTTCAGGATAAACATGCCCAGCTCTTTAAGCCACTCTTCATAGGACTTGTTCTCCAGACCCTTGATCATTTTGGTCTCACTCCTCTGGACACATTCCAGCTTGTCAATATCTCTCTTCAACTGTGATGCCCAGAATTGGACACAGTATTCCAGGTGTGGTTTGACCAAGACAGAATAGAGGGGTAGCATGACTTCCTTGGATCTAGACACTATACTCCTATTGATATCTGTTCTAGTTATATCAAATTTCATACAATTTTAACTACTGTGGCTCCATTCAAAAGAATAGCGAGGTTTATAGTTTGGCGAAAAAGAAATGAAGATTAAAACAGTTTAACCCTGTAATACAGAGAAGCACTCAAGGTATCTGAATTGTACTATAACTGTAACTAATTTAAATATAACTCGGGAACCCTGTCGGTCTGTTCTGCAAAATTAAACTAATTTAATCTTCAACATCTCTGTCTTTGGAGTATGTTAGGGACTGTAGTTCAGGGAAGTGTATTAGCACTTCCCAGAAAAAAATTCAGAGTACCTTATCAAGACCCAGGAATCTTTAGGACAGCAGCATGACAGTTAAACTGCTATGAAACTGATAAAAGGCTGGAGTAAAGATACCGCATGGCCTAATTTATGATTATCAGTGCTAACTGGAGTAGGACCAATTGTTGAATGGTGAATCAACACATCGGGAATCATGTGATTCAATGGTGTTACTCCCATCAGAACTAACAATAGGATTTGGACCTTTGTGTGTATGTGTGTGAGAGAGAAAGAGACCGAGTGAGGACCAACAGTGCAACATATTCACATTTTTGTATGTGTGTCAGGAGTGACTTGAGAAATTGCAAGTTGCTTCTGGTGTGAGAGAATTGGTCGTCTGCAAGGATGTTGCACAGAGGATGCCCAAATATTTTGCCATCCTGTGGGAGGCTTCTTTCATGACCACGCATGAGAAGCTGGAGCTGGCAGATGGGAGCTCACCCCGCTCCCCGGATTTGGTTAGCAGTTCAGCCAGCATAAGGGTTTAACCCATTGCACCACCAGGGGCATGAAAATATATGACACAATATATTAGTTTACATATTTGCAGGCAGGAAAAAAACATATTGCACTATACTGCATTTTTCATTTTGAACTTGTAACTGAAATAGCAATACATAGTGCTCGCTATGCATATACAACTCAATAGACTCTGGCTGGTTATTTACATAGCTGTAGGTCTGTTGGAAGTCATTCTTTTGGTCATTGCAGAGGTCAGCATTTTCTACTGAACTCACACAATGACCAATCTCCCCAACCAGACAGACCCCAACTTGTTTCTGCTGCAACCTGTTCCACAACCATTTAGTGGGCAACAGAGAATGAGGTTGGGGCTGGCAGAGAAGCATCCAACTTTGTTCCTACAGCTGGATACACAAGAATGATATTCTTCTTCAGTATATCTTGAAGACCCTGGGGAAGCCAAGTCTTGGCATCCCAGAAATCCCAGCTAGTTCACCAGCTGTTAGGATTGAGAGTTGAAGGCCAAAACATCTGGGGACCCACAGGTTGAGAACCATTGAGTTAAGAGCTTTTACCTAGATAAACTCCTGGATAGGGTGTCCCCAATAGCGCAATGGGTCAGCAGTCCTGCCCTTGTGCTGGCAGGACTGCTGACCAAAAGGATGATGGTTCGAATCCGGGGAGCTGTGTGAGCTCCTATCTGTCAGCTCCAGCTTCTCATGCGGGGACATGAGAAAAGCCTCCCACAGGGTGGTAAAACATTCAGGCATCCCTTGGGCAATATCCTTGCAGACAGCCAATTTTCTCACACCAGAAGCAATTTGAAGTTTCTCAAGTTGCTCCTGACACGGGGAAATGAACCCTAGATAAACCACTGCTTGAGGAAGAGAAAAGCACAAACATCTTATTAATCACACCACACACATCATTTTCCTTTTCAACAGATGTCTATTTTCTGAAGGAACACAAGTAGAACTCTAACCCACTTAGAGTTCTCCCACTCTTTTGATTGCATAATCTTGAACAGCATGGTTATTTCTTCATTTTGTGATCATCTCTGACATAATAAGCTGCTGCACTGAGCTTCCTATTCAGTAGTTTTCAGCCCTTCAGCAATAAGGTTGAGCTCATAGCACCACGTCTCATAGCGGTAGGCCATGCGGATCTGAGCCACGTTGGTCTTGCGGATGTCATTCCCCTGTGGCCCCTCCTCTTGGTAAGTCTCTCCCAACATATGGAGTTTTTCCTGCAGAAGGGACACAAGGCATTATTTTCACATCTTTTGCCATTTCACTGACTCCACAAGTTAAGAAAAGGAGCATCCCCTTGTTCCTCCCACTCCTTCATTCCTCTCCAATCTCTTGCCCTCAGGCCCTTGGCACATCCCCAACCACTTAGCCCAATGCCAGTTAGTCAAACAATTAAATAATTCATTTTTATTCATTGTGTTGATACATTGCCTTTCTGCTAAACAGTGCTCTCCAAAATGAGAAATACAAATTGGAATAAATACCAGTCCTGCATATTATGTGAGGGATCCATTTGTGTAATACAATTTTCACATATAATCTGGAACCCAATTTTTATTGTCTAATATGAATATTGACAATGTATTGGGCTTCCATTTGAAGTATGACATTGAAGTATGACATTGAAGGACCTATAGATGGCTAGATAAGGGTCCTCTCTAGGTCTCCCAACACAACCCTGTGGTTAAATTCAGGTAGAACTTCAGCAGAAGTTGACCATAGAATCATGCTGGAGACCTAGAGAGAATACTTCTCTAGGCATTTGTAGGTCTTCCAATGGAATTCTATGGTATTCAAAGCTCTTTGTGTATAACTGAAACCATGTTCAATGAGCTGACATAATATGTGGGTGTACTGTAAAGAAATCTTTAAAAAACAACCACCACCACCAAAGGTCTGACCAACTAATACAGTTATGGCTGAATGTTGGAAATGCTGAAAGAATGGAGCCAGGCTTTGTTCTTTGGGAGTAACATTCATATTTAAGTTTGGTGTTACCCAAAATGTGTAATATGGTTTTCCTGGTTCTTGGCAGGGAGTTGGACTGGATGGCCCACGAAGTCTCTTCCAACTCTATGATTCTATGATTCTATGTCCTATCTCATCTACCCATCAAATCTCTCAGGATGGTGGGACATGGGATCTCTGTTGAAATTTGCAAGTTACAGGTTAACTCAGACAGGAGGAGATAGTCTTTCAGAAATCTTAGCCCAAACTGTTTAGGGCTTTGTGTGTTAAAGCCAGCACTTTGGATCCATTTTTTTAAGCAAAATAGATACCAGTATGTTCAGAACTGGTAATACATGGTCTCTAAATTGTTCATCAAACACAAATTTAGCTGTTCCATTTTCTACTAGCTCTAGTTTCTAAAAACTTTCAAAGATATCCCAATGAAAGACCCGTTAATGTAATTTCTAAGTGGACATCATACCTCATGAGAAAGACCGCTTTGGAGGACACTATTACGTGCAATCTCACACATGTCACAAGTGCTGAGTTTGAACACCTGGGCAGCAATGGCATACTCTTCCATGAGAGGTTCCTAGGGAATGAAATCACAGTAATAAGACAATTGCAAAAGCTGCAACAGTCCCTCTGCCAACTTTCCTTACATGTTTCAGAGCAAATATCTACCCTGGGGAAAAGATCCAATTGCTTACCTTGGTGTAGTGGAATTGCATTGGGTCATCAGTGGACAGTGACACCATCAGTCCCTTCTGGTGGAAATCAAGAAGTGGGTTCTTGGCATATTCAAGGAAGAGACTGTTGTTGCTGAGCGGGGACATGGCAATAGGAATCTGGGTTAGGAAGTACAGATACTGTAACACAGGAGTCTACAAAGGGAAACAGAAAGGATGGATCAGGTCCAGGCAGAAGAACCTCTAATGCTTTCCAAAGAATATTCTCAGAGTTCAGCAATTTGACTTGGACCTTTCATTAGTCATTGCTCTGCAGGTACAAAGGACTGACCTGCCCAGCTAAATCCCCATTCAAACATCCGTAGTAGGATCTTAACCCTAAGGCGGTGGTTCCCAACCTGTGGTCCATGGACCACCAGTGGTCTGCAAGAACTGCGAGTTCACCGTTACTATTATGGATAACAACACAGTCCAACCAAAAAAAAAATCTTTTCTTGATCTCTTCGTTTTTAGACCTGTTCCCTGGGTTATTTGGAGTGCTGATTCAGAAAATTGCATTGGATAGACCACAGGAACAGGCCTAAAAATGAAGACACCAAGAAAAAAATGGGTGGGCTGTGGTGACCAAAAACTGATTTGTAATCCTTTTGGAGAGTGGTCCCTGGTTTGTTTGGAACTGTAATGAAGTATTAAGCCTCTCCATGTGAGGCCTCCAGTGAACCATGAGCACCGAACAGAAAAGGAAGCCATAGGCAGCTAAAGAGCATATACAATATATAGGTACAAGAGGGTTCTCTTCCCATGCGTACTGCAGCTCACCTTCTTCAGGTTCAAACCATGAGAGATGTTATCCGCAGTCATGAAGGCAGCCAGCAGGTGGGTGATAGCTCCAGCTTCTCCACAGTGAGGACGAAAGAGGAAGGTGTTCATGCCACGTTCTCTGAAAGTAACAAGACAACCATAAGTATTTACTGTTGTGTATGGAATGTATCTTTGCAGAGACCCAATATGCTAGGATCATGCTGAGTTTCATAGAACCTTGACTATATTTACAGAGGAGTAGCCAATACAGAAAGGAGAAGACTTGGTTGCACTTTCGAGGTTTGTGCAGGTGAAACTTTACTAGATTTGTGTGTACTTCAAAACAGAAGACTTTTAGAAGTACCAATAAAAAGGCACTGTTCAGCTATTCCGAATGGGGAAATATGAACAGTTTGTAGGTGGAGGGTGATGCCAACGCAATTCCGTGAATTTTGCAGAAGGATTGCAAGACATAAAAGCCTGGTCTCATCCTATTTTCTCTCCTGCTTTCCCTCCCATTTTAAAATGACACTAGCAAAAGAGCAACAAGACATATAGGAAGATTCCAAGACTGTGTTTAAACCAAGAAACATCCAATGTGAGCTTACCTTAAAAGTAGGCAAACTGGTATCCTCCAGATATTTTACAGTACAACTTCTACCATCATTCTGAACCACTAGGTATGCTGTGTATGTAATTAAATCCCAGTACCATTGTTTTAAAAAGATAAAATATTTTCAGGAAATTGACATTTAGAGACAGGACAGTTAAAGTGTTGTCAAACTGCATTAATTCTACACTATAGACACATTCTTACTTGCACATGTCTAGCGTATAACAACCTAAATGTGGAAAACAAAAATATCAGAAGGGTGAGTACTGACCTTATTATTTGAATTCATTTCTTCTGCCAGGTAACACTATTAGTCTAGCAAAACCTGGAAAAATGCCTCCAAGGGCTCAGATTTACAGGGGAAAGGATTCAAGCAAACAAGTTCTAGAAATTGAAAATGCTCTTGTTGGGGTCACTGGAAGGCCTGATCAGACTCCACAGACATAGGAGAAATATTCCTACCAAAGCTTAGTGTAGAGCATTAGGGTATCACAAAGCAACTCCACAGCCCAGGCAGAGACTCACCGTCGAAGGTTATTGAGCACCATGATGTTAGCATACATGTAGTACACATAATATGTGTAGGATGGATTCTTCTCATGGCTCCACTCATTGGGCTTGGGGCTCTTGGTACAAAACATGTGCCCACTGTGTTTGGATTCATCATCTACGCTGTCAAAACCAGTAATCTGCAAAAATTGTACAGCTGGTCTGTGAAATTCTGTTTCCAGATCCTCACCAAACAACAATCCAAACTTAAAGAGCTCTTTACTTCCATAACCTAAGCATTAAGTTAAAAAGTATGGCCAAATGCTGAGGCTGGAATCTACTAAAGGCCTCTTATATAGCACAGGTAAGCATAAAGTACATTGAGATAAATTGATAAATCTCAGTGTTGCTGACAGCTGGTTATTGAAGGCTTCTAATTTTAATTGTGTAACAACGGTAGCAACAGCAAAATTATAGCTTTTCCCCATTGGCCAGATCAGATCTATGTGCTGTTGCTTTGCAGTCATATTGAGCCTGATCGACTTTCTGTTGCTGTCCTAGTCACATTATCTGACATGCATTTTCAAAGGATTAACCTTGTTTTTTAACATTAATTTTAAGCTTGGGTCATGTGCCTCACTGTCTCTATAGCAGCAATACTCACATGGCGTAGAAAAACACTCATGTCTTTATTGTCCTGTGGGTTGATTGTTGCCTGGAACACTGGCACAAAAATGTTCTCCAGCATCTGCCCAAAATGAGGCAGAAAGTTCTGCTTCTTGAACACATCACTGAGGAGAGGAAGCAATAAAGTCAGAACTGTTTCAGCTCAGCTTTTGCATCAACAATATAAAACATTTGTAAGAAAGGAAATGTAAGTAGAGTGTATATATGGACATCGCCTGATGTCCAACGTAGAAATGAAATAGGCTACATAATGGAAAGCAGAATTGCAGGTAGTATAGTTGATTGGTGGCTGACACCAGATGGAACTAGGTGATGTTCTCCCTCTGGTTGGAAATGGGAGTATATATATAAGTATATATATTTAAGCCTGGCTCCTAATGCTCCCTCTTCAGTCTGCTAAAGACTTCACAGGGCAAGAATGAAGAGGGAGAACCAAAGGAGAAAGAAATGAGTAGTACACGGGTGTTTGAAGAGACGTTGTGAGCCCCAGAGTATGGTAGAGTGACAAGCAACAGGTCAATTGGTGGGTGAATGGACACCTGGTAGCCAAAAGAGAACACTGCCAGGAGTGGTGCTTAGTTGCCAGTGGTGCGTGCTCCCTGGACCTGGGAAAGCAATGCAAAGGAAACTTACAGAACATCTTGTAAGTGCTATTACAGAGAGCAATCCGTGTAAGGCTAGGAGTTTGATAGCTGTAAGCCCTTATAAGGTCTCACAGCCTCTTTGCGGGATTAACCAAAAATGCCTGGGGATTCATTATTCCCAAAACATGTTGTGTGGTTGTTGCAAATGGTGAAGTTCTATAGCTATGAGTCTGTAATGACGGTTGTAGTTCTGCTACTCAATCTTCCAGCTTTCCTTCCATTATGTTCCCAGAGGAGGCTATTCGAATAAGAAATCAGAGAAATTGTACATAGAAACAACCCTGTCTGTCTCAAGTAAACACCTTTTCAGTATTTTTCCAGAGTTTGGGAAAGTTACTTTTTAAATTACAACTCCTAGAATCCCCCAGCTAATGGCCATGTTGGCCAGGGAATTCTGAGACTGAATACCAGAAAGTAATGTTTCCAAGCTCTTGGGACCCTGTTGCTTATGAGTCAGAGCAGACTAACTTTGTTTCTTCATATGCATAATCATGTCTGCTTTTTTCAGCATATTTAATTAATTTTTTTACATGTATAGTAGGGAAGATTTATTTATGTTATTGCTAGTAATTTAATGCTTCTTGATCACAATTGAGTAGATGTGTAATATATCAATTTCACCCATATATATATACTGTTTGTATATGTTAATTACTTGTAATGGGCTTTGGGAACTTGTTACAGAATCTCAATAACAAACTACTACAATTCACAAGTTAACTAGACAAAATATTTTAATATTCTATTTGTAAGTTCTATCCCCACTCTTCCAGTGATACTGACTAGATTCGGGGCACCTGGATCATCCATTTCATGTTGGGTGAATAAACACGATGTTCATTGAACCACTTGGCTAATTTGGGCCACTCTTCTGGTGAACGCCCATAGATGGACAGTCGTGGTTCTGCATACTGGTACTTGGCATCCTCCAGGTCAGAGCCAACCTCCTAAGAGAAAACAAAGGGGAAAGAAATAACGTGTGCATCATTTCCCTCCAAAAACTGACCTTGCCCTTAAATACCAGCCACACAGACACAAACTCTTGCATACCATATTGTCTAACCTTGATGATGGTAGCAAAATATTCACCATTGATGGTATTTTCAGTCTTCAGATAGAGATCACGTAGCTCACTGGCGCCCACAGGGTTATACTTGGCATTGAACTTGTCAAAGCGCTGGAAGGTCTGGCGGCCCTGTGTTAGGAAGAAGCATCATTATAATGATGATCTACACACAGGAAAGAAGATTGGTTGAATACAGAGCTTGGCAGATTAACTATAGACTTCCAACATAAAAAAAGAAAACATAGGGGAGAGTGAAAGGTAGGTCTTTTACATGAGAAGAAAAAAATGATACTCACTGCATGGACATCAAGTGAGTCCACTGTCAGGTCATAGGGGTCCAGTTTGAGGTGCTCAAAGAGCTGTTTCAGTGTTAATGACTTGTCCTTGGATTTGTACACCAACCTTTCAGTATCAACCCGGCATGTCTTCTTAATGAATCGCAGCAGATGCTTCTGGTTCATGCAAGCTGCAGCATGGATGTGCGTGTCGACCTGTTGGAGAAGGCAGTGCCGGTTACTCCAGACAGCTCCCTCCCCAACAACCCATGGCAATATTTATATTGCAGAAGATTCTGATGAATCCTGATATTGAACTTCGAGTTTTAAATCACTGTCATTCTGTTTAGAGAATCATGAATTGTAATGGATTTGAAATTATGTGAGGGATGGAAAGGATTAAGGCAGTTTACATTTATTTTTTATTTATTTATTTACGACATTTATATAGTGCCCTTCTCACCCTAAAGCAGACTCAGGGCAGCTTACATAATGGGCATTATTCCATGCCCATACAACAATAACAATGAAAAAGCAATTAAATAATTTAAAACAACATACGTATGTAAACATTAGGCAACTATTGTGCATAGATACAAAGCCACATAGTCAGATAATCATATTCATCCATCTAGGGTCATATGAAGGCACTAAGGGATATCTGTGGGATATCTGAAGTAGCAGGATTATTTACCTAATTTTTGAAATACTTATTGGCCCAAGCCACACTGTGCTCAGTGTGTTAATGTCTCCCTTGTTCATCATTAGGTGGTTACATCAGATACATATTCTTTAAAAATCATGGCCAGTGGTCTCTTATGTATAAGTTTCCATATGAAATCAGTTGGCCTGGTGCAGAATGGCAATATTCAGCTCAAGACTGCAGTTACACTGTACTTAAGGTGCTATTGGGCATGAGTCTGCATGCATGTTGCTCATTGACCCTCTAGTCTATCATTCTTCTTTTTGCTACTATTCTCCTATCTACAGAGACTTGCAACAGGACATGTTCTCTTCTACTTCTCTAGATGACAAGACATCACTATGCATTATAGTTTCAGGATTAATGCCTACTACTGATCCCCCACCTTCCGACAATTATAGAAGTCCCGATGGGGGTTCTTCTTCAGCTCCTTCAACTCTTCCATCTCATTCAGCATCTCATGCACACAGAACTTGGAGGAAAGGAATTTAAGGCGTCGGTGTGCATATGTTTTACTGAAAAATCAAGAAAAATGACATAACATCTCATAAATCTCATACAGAATATGAAATACTTCACTACCAGCAACAGTGCCTGCCAATGCGATGGACATCTGCCAGCCAGTATTATGGTTCCTGCTATCATATGGCAGCTGAATGTAGGTCACATTCCAGAGTGACCAGAATCTCTTTGTAGTTGGGATATACATGTTGCCTTTGCTTCGGTTTTATGCTGGGTGGATATGACTGTTAGACAGAATGCAGCGTATGTTTCATGGTTTTTGAAACACTGAAGGGTGAATGCCCTTTGGATTTTCTGCCTAAGGCACCAAAATCTCTTAGGCTAGCCAAGTTTCTGTGTGGATAGGCCATTTCTGTATGGATGGGCCATGCCACAGGTGAGGCTCTCTAAGACACTTACACAGGCCCCTGAGCTATAAGGGCCAGCAGGAAGTTCATGTCATCAATGAAGGTCTCCAGGTTAGGATAGGGCAGATCCTTGGGCTCACCCCTGGCAGCGGCTGCTTTGTCAGCATAGATGTACACCACACCATCCTTCATTTGCACGTGGTAGCCCAAATTTTCAGGGAGATTGTCAGACCGGAAAGGATCTTCACCATGTTTCACGGCTGGGTTAAACACTACAATCAACAAAAAAAGCACTCGGAGTATAAACAAGGAAGGGAAAGAGTTCAAGGTTTACAATATGCTTCTATTACACTTGTTTGTCCAAGAGAATAACAATCTACTTCTCTGAGAAACTGTTAGAAATATATACAGAGAGATGAGATCTGATCATAGATCTCCATCTCTAAACACCATTTGCCACGTTATCCTCCACTGTGTATGCCCGAGTCTACTTTTAGTACAAAGGCCTTCTCACTGTGACTGGCTCAAATGTGTCCTCCATCTTCAGTTCTGCCCAGACATGTTCTTAATAAAGTAACAGATAATTCCCTATCTACAGTGGTATCTAGTTCACCACAACTGCCTAGTATTCTACTGGGACAAGCTGGACTTCCAAAGCCATTATTCATCCACTGTGGTCCTTATGTTTGCTTTGCATGGACTGTCTATGGTTACCTGGCCACAGATCATCATCGGGTTTCCACATTTCATTCTCAATGGTGCGCAGGAACTGGGAGGGAGTCTTGGGGAAACGCTGGAAGGACTTCTGCATATACTTCTCTCGTATGCATAGGGCACGGTATAGGCCACTGCAGACTAATTCAAAGTCCTCCACTGTCACCTGTAGAGGAACTTGATAGAATTATTAGCTCCACAGAGCTGAGAGGGTGGTAATAAAAACACATGCATTCAAAAATATATATACTGAAAACTATTTCAGGGTAAGGTTACACATTAATGCTCTCTCTGACCTCATTTGGGGAAGTGAAGAAATAGCAACAGCTATGAGGATAGAGGAGGCCCAGCACCAACAGACATTAGGGACTCTGTCTCATAACTATACTATAATATATCCAACTTTCCCACCACCATCAGTATGAACAGAAGCAGGGAGGGTGCCTATTGGCTGTCATCTTTTATGTTTTTGTTCACAATTGCACTGGATTGATGCAACATCTTGAGCAATGTACTCATAAAGGATAGCATGAAACTGCCATGCATGGGAACTTTGCTGCACTTCAAAAGAAAAGAAAAAGGAAAAATGAAAAAAGCAGGACTTGGAAAAGTTTTGTTTTGAAAATGACAGTTCACCAAACACTGCAACCAGCAATACCACTGGCTCTGCTGCTGGACGTTGTAGTCCAAACAAAAGAACATTTTACAAATTCTGGAGAAACACTCGGCACTTTGCAATTCTATGGTACACAAACCTGATTACTTCTTTGTCATCCCACTTTTTTCAGTTGCTTTTAAAATACCCAAGTTTCTTTTTTCTCCTCTCCCTTCCTTCCTTCCTCCAGATTTATTTCAACTGCTGAAAACTGTGTTCAAGAGGTAGAAGCAGAAAAGTCCTATGATATGATGTACCTGCCATTTAATTAATTCAGGCTGTTTGGATGGAATCTTGCCTTCCCCATTAGACTTAAGCAAAAGCAAATTGCTCTGGCCTGTGCATTCTTCCTCATTAATAACTTTGGCCATTTTCACTACATTCTGCTGTGTCTGGCCATGCATGCCCCAGGGGTTATCTGTAATATGTCTGAGGGCGCAAAGAAGCAAAATAATTCAAGTGAAGGATAGAGTATATTCTTGCCCGACATTTCTACCAATGACCCATGGCCTGAGGTTGGCAATGAAAGTTGATCAGGGGGGCCATGACAGGAGGACCCAACTGTTGGAACTATTTTGAGCACCAGAACGATCCTGCTTCGGTTTCACCAATACCCCTTAATCCAGCAAATCCGTCATAAGATTTGATTTATCTCTCAAAAGGGTTCAGGTTCAGTCAGTGAAAGTGCAGCCATAGTTAGCCATTGATCAAGCAGCTTAGGTACTTCACAGGAGATACTATAAACCTCTTCTCTCTCCAACATGTACTATGGAATTTGGAAACTAGTCATAGTTTGCCCAGGGCCTTTCTTACACATTCAGGTCTTCTGCCCATTTTATATGCTTTTGACATTTTGTTTGTTTTGCAGAGTCAGCACATATCACCGTTTCTGAAGGTAATGCTCTGGGTACACATGTTCTATCATGGTTTCCTAATGTTATATACATGTAATATTTTGTTCAAGGTAGAGAGCACATCATTCCTGCATAGGCAGCTAAATGAGTATCACAGGCACCAAAACATATTAACTGTTACATAATCAGTAACAAGTGACATGACTTGTTATATCTCAAAGCCCCCGGTGGCGCAGTGGGTTAAACCCCTGTGTCAGCAGGACTGAAGACCGACAGCTTGCAGGTTCGAATCCGGGGAGAGGTGGATGAGCTCCCTCTATCAGCTCCAGCTCCTCATGCGGGGACATGAGAGAAACCTCCCACAAGGATGAGAAAAACATCACATCATCCAGGCGTCCCCTGGGCAACGTCCTTGCAGACGGCCAATTCTCTCACTCCAGAAGCAACTTGCAGTTTCTCAAGTTGCTCCTGACATGACAAAAAAAAAACCTCAAAGATTGGAAGAGTCCGTTTTTGGATTATAGCTCCTAAAACCCTATAGTCCAAAAATGGCTGTGGGGTTTTGAGAAATGTTCAAAAAGTAACATTTCTAAATTCTTCCCTCTGAGTATGTCTTTTTGTGAACTTCTGGTAGGATGCATGGAATGTGGGCTGAAGATCTTCTCTCACATTCACTGAACAGCAACATTATTTAGGGCTTTAAAAGAGTCAACATGCTGTAGTGGTTTGATTGTTGGAGACCAGGTTTGAATGCATACTCAGTCAAGGAAACCCACCAGACCACCTTGGGCTGTCACTCTTTCTCATCCTCAGAAGAAGACAAAGACAATCCTCCTTTGAATAAATTTTGTTAGGATCACCATACATCAGAAAGGCTTGACAGTATGCTGTAACAAACAATATAACCATTCTACTGTAGTGTAGCCAACTTAAAGGGATTCAGGGCTGAATTGTCATTTCATTTGACCTTGCAGGGAAACATCTGCCTCACACTTTACTTTTTAAACAAGTTGTTTTGACCAAAAATATCTCTACTTCATACCTCTTGTACAGAAGCATATCTAGGCACTTATAAGATATGTCATTATTTCCACTGACACGTCACTAGCAGGAGTACCATGTTAGAATCATCTAGGAAGTCTGGCTAGAAGAAAAACATGGTAGGAGACTACACTGGCAGAAGACACTGACATCTCAAGTTACTGACCCCAGCAGCATAGTCTCCTGTAATCTGCACACGCTGAAATTTGGGCACGGTTTGGTATGAAGTATTTGTAGACATAACCTCATCCAAGGTAGACAATTTGGTTGAAGACTTTCCTATAAGAGGAACAACCAATGCAATGGTTTTCAGTCTCAAGAGCCTCTTCCTCCTAAAATGGATGAGAAAAAGAGGGAAGTCACAAAATTTCACATTTGTGCTTTACCTAAGGTGGTGCATGTTTTGCACCCTGGGATCTGTATGGCACCATTTATTCAGAATTATTTCTAGGCCTTGATTACCCTTAACTTCTGGCATTTAACTGCATTATGCTAAGACTTCTTCATGAACTTTGCACTATACATTCAAAAACACTTCCACAAGGAAGTAAAGCACCCCAATTTTGAGAGAGGACTAAGGATCAATCATTCTGCAGAGACATAGGCACCACAGCGCTGCACACGGGTACTATAATGAATATGAAAAGTTTTGGAAATAATAGATTAAAGCAATCGTTTCCAAAGATGATGGTACCTGTGCATCATTTCAGTAATTACAAGGAGATTTCCCATCCCTGTTACCACAAAGAAATATTCCACTAGTGCCATTCCTTCATGGACAAATAATAGGAATGTGATTATATAAATGTGCAAAAGTGTATGATCATATTTTTTTAGAAAAGGAGATGAAAAGCTATGATTTCAGTTACTTGATTTAAGGCTACTCTCTGGACACCCCCCCCCCTTCTCCAACCATTTAACACCTGTGTGAGTGCTTTCTGGTGTTTAGAAATTGCCTTATGTTATGTAAATAGGTTATGTAAAAAGAAATCGCACATTTGAATTCAACAGTAGCAAGATGGCACCAGTGTTAGAAAAGAAGTGAGGCTTAAAAGAAATCGCACATTTGAATTCAACAGTAGCAAGATGGCACCAGTGTTAGAAAAGAAGTGAGGCTTAAGGCTTAATACATCCTTCTACAACATTCCCAATGAGATATATTGGTATAATTCTAAATTGCATCAGGTAACGGTTCTCACTTTTTTCCAGAATCACTTTCAGCCTCTTCCTGGATCATGTGCTCTTTATTTTCTTTGTCTGAGATAGGGCAGATCTCTTCTGCATCAAAGGGAGAGATTTCCTGGTGGCCTTCCTCTTTGACCTCTGAAGCAAAGACCTTTTCTGCAAAGGAGCGCATGGCTTCATCCGTTTCTGTTGGAAAAGGGGAGTACATCACCAGTCTAGTCCTATTATCATTCTGGGAGGTTGGGAGATTGTATGGCTCAATATGTCAGTCTTTATGTACCCAGAGTGTAGGCTCTTGTAGTCTTTGAGCATATTACAGAAACGGAAGGGCTAAATAAGTGATCACATATGCTATGAACTGGACACTCACCTGCACTACAATTCAAGAGAAACTTAACTAGCGGAGAATGCAGCACAAGGCCTACGAAACTATGGGCTTATATATAATGAACAGTGTCACTGATTCATCACCTATCTCAAAAGAACCTGTTTTGAGTGGCACTTGATCCCCAGGATTTTAGACAGTGATATAACTTATTTCAATCCAAAATCCTTTAACTAGGGAATGAAAATTAGAAGAGATGGTGCACACATGACAAACAATAGAGGGATGGATGGCTCGATAGATGGATAATGGAAATGAAAGCTGGCAGACATCTTTTTGATGTGTATTCCTTGCTCTAGATCAGGTTTCCAATTGTGTAGCCCTCCAGATATTATTGATAAGGACAGTGGTAAGGACAATTAAACTGAGTGGAGATTGGTGGGTTTCACTTTCCGCACCCAATAATGTACATGGCATTGCCAGAATGTGTGTGCTCTGACGGGGCTATAGATAGGACCTAACCACCAATGTTAAAGTTGGTTAGGCTACAAGATGGTGAAAGATGACTCAGAAAAAAATGATCTTACCTGTGCTGCAATTCCTCACAGTTGTCTTAACTCCATTCTCTGGAGATCAATGTTTAAGTGCCAGATAGCACAGTTCTGCCACAAAATAAACCCACTTGGTTTGTGATGAAAATGTTAGCAAAATAGTGCAAAGATCACAGTTGTTTCTCCTCAGAGAACCAAATGTGCAGGCTTTGAAATGCTCAAAGATAGTTATGGAATCAGACCTCCAAAGAGCGGATATGACTTTTTAAAATAGGACAACTCAATGACATTTCAGGCTATGGTAGTGGGACAAATTATTCTACTCAGGTGACATCAAAGCAGTTTCTGGAATGGGGTATTTACAGATTGACAGTTTGATCTTATGCATGCATGTCCATGAAAAAATCTCCACTAAGTTCTGTGGGACTCATTTCTAAGCAAGCATGCATAGAATTGGTAATTTAAGTGCCTTCAATGGGTTGAAAAGGAATTACAAAAATCTTCTGCATTATCTTGTATAATACTACAGCTATTGCTATGATTACTATGATAGAGGTGATGGACAAAACCAAACAGATGGAGCATCTTCTGTCTGGAAACCAGCTTTCATAGCTGACATGAAGAAAAACAAAACAGTAACATAGTTCAGCTGAGAGATGCATATGGAAGACACAGGATAGGCACAATAGGTAATGACAATGGAATGAGAAAACGTGAGCTCATGCTAATGACAGATGCATGCAATGCCACATTTCAGACAAACAGTGCATGAGGGGGAAAGAACTCGGGATGGACTCCAGACCCACCCTCGATTAGAAGTATCTTGCTCTGAGCTCCTGCTTAGCAACACACTATTTCTTCAAAGCATCCACAAATTTATGAACTACGTTCCATAAGGATGAGAAGTAACCCAGATCCCTCAGCATCAGTGTCTTTTGCACACAATGGCTACTGGACAAAATAATCCATGCTCAGCTTACACTCATTAATAGCCAGGCAACTGAGAATGATAGCTATTTCTCAGTGAGGCAACCTTTGCCAATGTCCAGTATCACACTTCTGCAGTAACCCACCAGAAGCTCAAAATCAGATGCATGAGTCCAGTATCAAAACACACCTATAACCAGAAAGTTCAATCGTTCACTTTTGTTCTTGTTTGCCAAGGCACCAGACAGGTTGCTACTCATTGATTAAGGTTACAGAAATTCAGGATTTAGTTAGAGCTGGAACCCAGCTTTTATGCTTAGGGGCACAACTGAATAAAGCTGACATTGGTATCTGATCCAACTCCAACAAATGGCTTGGAACTGATTAATTATGCACTCTGTAGAGTAGCCAACCATTGTAGAGTTTTAAGGGAAAAATTAGAGAATTTTTGGCTCTCTAGAAGTTTTGGCTACAACTCCTATCAACTAACAGTTTAGTACTCTGGAGTTGAAGCCCAAACTATGCAAAGGGCCAAAATGACTCTATTTTTCTTATAAGGAAAAGTCAAGAGTAGCTGTGTGGAAGGGAGAAGAGACAATGTCTCAGCTTCAAAGAAACTTCTAGATAAGCATCGAACACACTTCCTCTGAGCTTCCTAAATTTATTCTGATGTGTAGACAATTGGAGGAATTTAAATGGGCCACTCATGTAGCAGTCAACTGAACGTGGCTACTTTATTTACTTTTCCATCTAATGGCAACCCAAGGGTACCTTCCTACCTTGTTGATATACTCCTTGGGCAACTCAATATATGGCCCAGTTTTGGGCAGTGGAGGTAGGAGAAAGCACTGTCGGACAATAGGACAGTTGTTGGATATTTGCACATGGTAGGAGCTTTAGTCGTTATTCCACTCCTGCTTTGAAAATTCAAGCAAATTTCTGCAAACAAGTTATACAATACCAAGAAATCTTGGAAGATTTCTCCCAAGCTTGTGAAGATAGATGCCACCTAACATGCTGGCCCATTATAGTATCTTTCTGCCATGCCCCATGCAAGCTTTTATCCTCTTTGAAAAAGCTGTTGAGAAATGGGCAATCTCTGGGTTGCTCTGATCATTTGTCAAGTAGTGGATACTTCACTTATCAACTGCTTGACAAAATAGCAGATGGCACAAGAAAGGCCTAGAAATACTCACGTTTCTTGTCCACTGTTTGAGATTAAAATAAACAGAAAATGCCATCAGAACACAAGGTGAAATACATGATAAAGGACTTACCTATTGTCCATATTTACACAGAGGAATGAAGTTATATTTGCCCAGTTACAGTAGAGAAATGTTTAGACAACTGAGAAATATTTCAAAACCTTGTTTGGAGCCCCCTCCCAGAGTTCTTGATATATCCTTTTAATTTTGCAAACAAATTTCATGGGATTTGCATTTTTTTATCTGTATGGGGTTTTTTTATACAAAGGAGTACACGGAAAATGGTGACAGAGGTCTGTGGCTCTTGGCCTCCCTTCAGCCTCATCATGGTATGAAGGTTGAAACATTAGTGACAGTAAATCAAACAGATAATTTGTATAATTTGTTTAATTAGTATGTAAATCAGAATAATTTGCATACTTTGTGAAATATTTACATATTATGCCAGTTGTGCCCCAGATTAAAGGGGCACATTCTAATAATATTGTAGAGAAGCTTTTGGCTATCCCTATGACAATGACAATGCAAATAGCTGCATAATGTTTAACATATGTAATTTCACTCTATAATTATCTCCAGTTGCTGGACTGAATTGGCCCCTTTACCATCCAAAATAGATACCCTTCTAAGCTTTTCATTCTTCACTGACAATTTATGTGTGATTCTGATCTCATGTCTTGCTTGCTTGTTTACCTCCTTATTCCCTATTGCTGTGGTGTCAGAATATCATGACGTGTAACTGAGAACCTTAAAATGTAACTTTGCTTTGCATTATAAACATTTTAAAAATAAAAAAGGAAACAAACTTTTGCATATTAGAAGGACTGTAGCAACAAAACTTTCCAGATTGCTCCTTTTTTAAAGAGGAGTTTATGAAAGTGTATGCTGGAACTGAGCTATAGCTAATATTAAGTATAACTGTGTTACTCAGGGGCAAACTATTGCATTATTAGCATTAATATTAATAATAATCTTTATTTATATCCTGCCCTATCTCCCCGTAGGGACTCAGGACGGTTTACAACAGGCAGCAGTAAACATTCAATGCCATAAGGTGCTAACAAACAACAAAACAACCAAAGCCACCCAAATAAAAAACAAATCCAACATCCACCTCAAAGTAATAACAAATATATTACCACAAACATTCTCTTGAAAATTATGAGAAAAACTACCTATTCATATGGCAGATAAATATTTAACAATGATCTATGCGTATTTCTCTTTCTTGTTTAATATTGAATGTGCTTTTATGCCAGGAGGTGAATGCTTTAGCAACAATTTAAAGATACTGTACAAAGAGAAAATTAGCTATTTCAGTAAAATATTATTTACTGATGTGTTATATAGTAGAGAATGTAACTGTGTTGGCGTAAAAATAAGTGCAAACAGACAGATCAGATATTTATTCTTAATATGTTGGGAGCTTTTTTTTATTATTGCTATCATTTGTGCATCAAAAAGTAATGTAATCCAAAAATCTTATTCCAGATGCTTTACCACGAACTTCTGGTCTATCTCTGGCATATACTCTTTCTGGAAGAAATTATTCAGGACGTTTGGAAATTAAGAAAGGGTATTTCTCATCCCCTTCAGATATAGCTTTTATGCATGACTAAATAGTCTAGCCAAAGATCAATTCCTTGGCTACAAATGATATCTGAAGAAGCTATTAAAAGTTAAAATACCATCAATATACCCCATATTTGGCAAACACCAAAGTCTGGGGATCTGTCTGCACACTTTTTATGATGTATGCGATTTAAACTTTAGCGTGGGAGCAGTTCTGCTGATCTGAGTTCTACTCCATGTGTTTCCCATAAATGGCAAAACAGGCATTTAGCTAACACTCTTCTCAGATTGTTAATTTAGGAAAGATGACAGCCTGGCCAGCCCATTATGCAAGTCCTCTTTTTCATGCTCAGAACTGCTTTTTGGTTCTCTTCTACCGCAAAAATCCCATAAAGATTTGTCTTGTGAAGTTATTTCTCCAGATTTGGCTACCAAGACCTAGTTCGTTATAAATAGGACGGGGGCCTAGATATTTGGACTCCAGGTCTGCCTTATATTCCTTGACGGTGGTGGCACAGACCTACCTGGCATTTTCACCTGCGGCATTTTTCCTACCACCCTCAAAAGAGTCCTGAGAAACTGACTGTAGAGCAGGCAAGTGGGAGAGTGAAGCTGCAGAGCCAGCCAACGCTCATTTTACTATTTATCTGTGTTCATGTAACCCTACTCCCCTTCTCTAAAAGGAGTGGAGAGATAAGCAAGAGACTATTTAAAGCAGCAACTAGGCAAAGTTGTAACAGGTGAAGCTGTAGGCTTGGGGTTCAGAGAGAGCCAGAGCCACAGACAGACAGAGAGAGATGGGCAGAGAATGAAGATCCTCCAGTCCCCACACAAATGAGACAGTGTTGCCAGGATAGGGTCTAGTCCTGGGTGTTCTTGACTTGGCAGCGGTTACTGGCAACTTTCTTTGTTCCTTGGATAGCGCTCAGATTAACACAGCTTTCCTTTTCAATGAATGTGCTACTCTGAATTTGTGTCACATTGGATCAGATCTGTTCTGCATGGATTCCTTCCCTAATGCAACATTTCTAACATTCATTTTAAAAGTAATCTTTTTGCAACCTTCTATTGCAACCTGCATTTAATTGCCTGAGGGAGTCTGGGAATTCTAGTTTTTTGTTTCTTTTTTAAAGGGAAATCCTAACTGTGCTTCTTTTATATTGAGCCAGAACAGTGGTGAAGACTGTACTCCCTTAAAGCAAAGATGCACGTGGCAAATAGAAAATTGTATTACAGTAACATAAACCAAATATAAGAGGTAGATTCTTTACTTATTAATAAAGGGTTATCTGAAATTTAATAGGAAAGAATATTTCACCACATATAATGTACTACAGTGAATATTTTATTACTCAACCAAACTTGATAAGCACGGCACATGAAACAAAAGACCCTGTCCAAAGAGACCTGCAATATAATTATCTCAACTTGATGTCCAGTTCTTTGTTAACTGCACATTGGGGAAACAGGATTCTGTAAAATATGGAAGACACTGCAATCTGGGTCCTGCAAAATCCTGTGAATGATGCAGGTCATTATGCTAGAAGCAAAAATGAAGACCCTTCATTCAATTTGTCTGAATTCCCTGCAGTGTTTCCTGACTTCTGATGTACAATCCTGAACACTGATAGTGGCCAAGCAATAAAATATCTATTACTAATTTACCCAGGTTCTGCAGTTACTTATCATCCCCTTCCAGACTAAAAGTGTGTTTTAACATTAGCAATCCCTCATAGGAACACTTAGGGCGCTTAGCCCTCTACAGCTATGTATAAAAGCTACATTTGCTTCTAATCTTTCTGTATTGAATGTCACTGGTATTAAGCTTGCAATTGAAACCAAGACTGACCTTCAGATTTTATGGCAGTTACTTATCTTTGGAGCCCTTGTGCCCTCTTTTATCCAAAAGGTCAAATTAGCCCACAAGGTTCCTAAGGGTAGGGTCAGTAGAAACATGGTGAGTAGAGAATGTGTGGAGAAGAGCTGATAGCACTTCCTGAGGCTTGTTGGCTCACGTCTTGGAATAAGAACATTTTCCAAAATGATATGCATATATGTGTTAACTTTACATGAAAATGCAGAATTACAAATCTGTAACAGCAGGTGCCTTATCTTTTCTTACCTTGCAACTATAGGCTCCTGCTCATTTCAGGAGTTGCATCCTGTTGCTGTTGGCTCTTTGACTGAGAAGAAATTCTGGTTGAAACTGCTGGCAACAGAGGAAACAAGGGACTTCCGCTTGGTCAGAGCTATTCACACAAGGCACACGTTCTTGGCTGGAAACAAGAAGGCGACTGAGGACAACCTTCATTCAGATGCCTCTAGAAAAATGCTTCTTGTAGGACTCTGGGAAAGAGATTGCAGGTTGCAAGGGGCATACTTCACCAATGAGAGTAATGAGTTGTAGGTTGTTTTTTGTTTGTTTTTAAACTTTAAAAAGGTGGTTCAAGAATGACTTTCCACATTTATTTGTATAATAGAAGACCAATAGCAAAACAACATTACTACATCTTGTCCCAGTTTTCTTCCTTGCTATTTAGAGGGCTGCAAGATTCAAATGAAGAGAAATGATATCAAAGAAAGTTACATAGATAAGAAGTACTGTATGTGCAACAAAGATTTCGAGATTGAAGTCAATCTCAAACTGAACATGAGTCAGCACCACAATACAGCTGCAAGTGGTTAACAAAACCACAATCATGACTCATAAACATTCCACTTTGTCTTACTGCCCATTTAGATCTTGTCTGGACTACTGTGTCCTGCTCCACTTTAAGGACTGCAATTCTAGTTCAACAGATGGTTTGCAGAGTGGAAAGAGTCTCATGCTGGCAGGATTGGAACAGGGTATGTTAAGGCTGGAAACAACCAAAGGGCAGCATCAGCTCAACACAAAGCACATCCTCCTCCAGTTCAAGATGGATAATACCAAAGGGTTTTCATACCGTTTGTTTCATTCGGATAGCATAAAATGACACCCCCTCCCCCCGGTACGAAAATATCAATGAAAAGAAAGTGGGAATGGTAACAATATGTTACCCGATTTTCAGCACTCAGCTGCAGGCCCTGGCAGGCATGGGTGCTTTCTGGGCCTGCACACCACACATACACTCTCTTTCCAAGGAGCTGTAGGCCCAATGCAAATACTTGTTACTCTATGTTCTGTTTTAGATATGAGTCTAGAGTCATTGATCATATCAACTCCTGAAGAAGGGGATTTCTTTCCCCGAAACAGGATACAAAAAGACCCGGGCACCCCTGTTGAAGCTCTTGGGACTTTCCTTACGAATACTTCTTTTGAGAGCGGTGCTCCATTATCACTGGACTTTACTAGATTTTGATGCTATTTGGATTATCCTCACAAAGATGTGCACATAGCCTCATGACTCATCATTTGCTTACTTCTTCTGAAAGGTTTTTTCATTGAACATGTATCCCTGAAACCTATATACATTGGAATCTGATTCAGAACTGTTATGTTTGAAAGCGGTTGCTCCTTTTCAATTTGTTTTAAGCTTGTATTGAGCCATGTACTGGGAATTTTGGTAATATTGTATACTATATGCTCTTTAGATATTATACTTTCTCCTTAATTAGATTACTTTGCGTTTGTTCAGATTTCTTACAAGTATTCTGAGACACTGTATAGTATGTATTTACATTCATTTGTCCTTATGTGTGTTTAGATTGTATGCCTTTAGCAGCGTTAGCTATTTTTTTGTTTGACCTGTAAAGCACTATGTAAATAAGCAACAACAACAACAACAATGCCGAAGCGTAGATTGTAGACTCAGATGAAGGTACTGAGTGACATAGCACTATCCTAGGATAGCCCAAACTTCAAAGCTTGGTGAGATTCAAATGCTCCCTCAGCCATGAGGTTCACTTGGTGACCTAATCATTGCCCCTTGGCTCTACTTATCTTGCCAAACTGTTGTGAGGATAAAACTGAGAAAATAAGGAATTATATGATGTCTTAAGATATTCAGTCTTAGGAAAGGTAAGATGCAAAAATACTAAATAAAATTTGACTTTGAGTTACATTAAAATACAGTCTTGCAGATATGAAAGGAAGTCTTAATTTATGAAAACAAATGTATTCAGAACTTATATTTGGGAAACAATCAGATTACAGCCCATGTTAACACACATTTACAAATGCTCCAAATACACAAATAGAGTAGTTGTTGTATCACCAGAAATGGACTCTAAAAACTTTGAAGCAGCAGTTCTTGTTTAATTCACACTTGACTGTATCAAATAACTGGGTGATTGAGTTTCCCCTGCATGACACTGAAAGCCACCAGCCGGTGTATTTAGGGAGTTGTAAACACTGGGTGATGCTGGTTGCATTTTGACCCCTCATACCAGTGTAAACCACCTGTGTATCTCTGCTGCAGAAGGTATAACTTTTTGTCCACACACATACTTCTGACAATCTTATGCACGAAAGGTTTATTATACTTCATATTTGCTATTATGTTTTTATTTTTCTACCTCTTAGAAAACCAACATACATCACTCTTTTCTGCTTTTTTTTAACACTACTACTAAAAACTAAGTATTTTCAACAAGGATAAATAAATATATGCTTTCAAGAAAACTCATTTTTGCTTTAATACTTCTCTCTATTTTGCAGAACTATTCTTCAGTGCCTTTATCCTTATTTTACAGAAAATTGTAAAATTGTAAAAAAAATATGACAAAAGAACCTAGGAATGAAGAGCTCATGCAACTAGACAAGGAACAGTACATTGCACTAAAAATGAAAGTCTAACAGCATTTTATGTTAGCTAGCGAACATTAGGAAATTAAGGGGCAAATAAGACTCATGCATACACTACCACATTCTAGAACATGAGGTGGAATTAACTCTCAACAGAATACTACTTGCAGCTCAGTTACTCAGTACAGACACATAGACAAAAGAATCATATATATGAATTTATATATATGAATTACTTACTATTACATTGGAACCGACATGAGTCCTTTGATGGTGCTTAGTCTAGCAATATTAACTGTAGTATTTCAAGAGGGCTTGGTAATTAGATTTATGGTTAACAAAAGAAAAACAATGGTACCATTAGAAATTGTGTGTCAGAGGATTACCCAAGCAAGTCACCTTATCTGCTATCCAAATAAAAAGAAATGGGAAAAGATGACTAAATTCCAGAAAACTAAAGAATTCCAGCTCAGCAATCTGGCACCAATAAACAGGCACAACCAGACACATCTTGCAGTCTGCTCACAGATACAAGCAAATTGTGCTTCAGTGCATAAGAACAGAACATGGTGGCATTAGCTTAGGTCCATTGTGTTTTTGCTGGTCAATGCCAAAAGAAGCAGTAAAAGTGTTGTGAACTAGATGCCTTAAAGGAGCCAAACAAGGAGTTTATTAGCACAAACAAAGTTTATTAGCACAACAAAAATAGCTTAGAAACACTTAATTCAGTGCTTCTAGCAATAACTGAAAGTCTGTAGCAAACTGCTGTGCAAAAAACATAACTTAGCGGATAATCCGGATTATACTGGAATATAATCCGGGATAACAAAAAGTTCAAGCAAACTGCTTCAAAAACAGAGTTCAATAAACACAAAGAAACAAGGTGGAAGCAAGCAAAATCATCGTCGAAAAAGAAGTCCCAAGTCAAAGCACGTCCAGAAGAAGATGGTTAAGTCCAAAACGTGAGGTCGTCGTCCAAAAACAATCCGAAGTCAGAGGGCAAGTAGAAGTCAGCACTAATGAGATTCCAGTCAGTAGAAGAACGGAAACACAGCAATCTGCAGTCCCAGGACCCAAGCTCAAGAGTAATGGCAGCAACAAAATCCCAATCACAAGTACAACACTTTGCCTACTGCAAAGTTCCCATAGTTTGATACCTACTTTTATCCTATAACTCATTATCAGATGATGAACTGCTCTCCACCCTGTCTTCATCACTCTCAGCTGCCTTAGCTTCCACAGCTGATCACCACCGCCCATCTCTCTAACTTTTCCATCGTCTATCAAGACTTAGATCACCCCATGTATTACCAGCTTGCCAATCCCCAGAGAAGCCTTCAAACTCATCACTAGATGTTGGTTGTGTACATAGTTCTCTGATTTCCTGCAAAAAAGGTGAGCATGGTAAACATCCAGCCCATCCTCCTCTTCGTCACTACTCCCAGTCCCCTCACTTCCAGTGAACCCCATAAAATCTTCCTCCTCAGTTGGAGCATTAAGTATTTCATGGATACGTTTCCTTTCACGTTCTTCATCTGACTCTTGCTCCCGAGTAACCCATTTCAAACCTCTGCCCCCTTCTCCCTCCTCCTTCATTTCAGAATCTGAGAAGCCTTCAAAGGAATCAGTATCTATAGGTGTCATGAATATCTCTCTAATTCGCTTCCTTTGCTGCTCCTGCTCCAACACCTGAGCAGCCCTCTTTCCCTTTCTACTACCAGTTGAAACTTGACCAGCACACTCTACTGCAACAAAAAGTATGGAGCCTTATATATAAACACAAAATTAAGAACACAAGTGAATATTTTTATAGCACTGAAACACCCCCAAATTCAAATCCATTAGACAGCAAGACATTTCCAACTGCTTTCAGCGCTGATAAAAGAAAAACATGTCACGTTTCACCCTGTATTTACATCGTCTTCAAACCTACACCAAGGACTTTGAGGGTGTCATTGTTTTTATGGCTAATTTCATCACTGCAGAAGAGTATGAAAGCCAGTTAACCTTGATCGTTTTCATCCTACTGCCTTGAACTGGGATATGGTAGGAGAGTATCATCCATAGCAACTAGATTCAGACTATGTAACAGGTGTTAAAATGGCTAATACCTTAATGTGTGCCTCTTAGATGCATATTCATATCCAGAAAAGACAGCCAAACATGACACTTAATCTCCCAGCTTATGCAATCACATCCTTTACACTGCAGATGCTACAGCAAAGGGAGCTTCTAAGACTGAATGGATTTAAATTGCTAGAGTTAATGTAAATACTACATTTCCTCAGATAGTAATTCTTTCACTTGAACAGCAGGAGGGAGTTCTGTGTGCCCAGGAGGGAGTTTCTCATCTGGTCTCAGCCACTGATTAAGGTGCTGGGTTTTAGCCTGCCACTTTTGGACTCTCACTTGCTAAGGTGTTCCTACAAGTATCTCTGTAGATCTTAGGAAGCTGTTTCTTGATTTAAGGCATTGGCATGCTGGCTGATATCTGAACAGTGGATGGGCCGAAGATGTCAATGCTTTGGCCCTTTCATTACTGGTTGCTACTTCCCAGCAGATGTCAGGTGGTGCGATACCAGCTAAACAGTGTAATTTCTCAAGTGGTGTTGGGCATAGAAATCCTGTGACAATGCGGCATGTCTCATTAAGAGCCACATGCACTGTTTTAACATGGCGACATATTTTCAACACTGGACATGCATAAGGACAATCCATACTGTATGCTGCTTAAAACAAGCAGGCAACATTTGTGAGACAAGAGCAAAGGTACTTTTCAAAGTGTACTCTGCCATCCCTTTTCTTAGGTGGTTACATAGTGGTTTCTCTTTCGCCTTGGCACGTGTGCAGTAAAATGGCAATGAAAGAAATACACTGGTAAAGAACGTACAACACTGGGTGCCATTTTTACTGCAATCTGATCTGAGTTCAGTAAGTTTATAAATGCAGTAACATTAATAGATAGCTTACAGGGGAGAGAGGGAAAAGAAAGAAAAGATGGGACTGAGAATGGAAATAATCATCCAGAAATGGTGCTTTCATATGATCTCACATAATCTCAAGTGGTACCTTTTTGAATAAACACACTTCACCCATGCTAGCCATTAGATAATGCATGCCACGCATAAGACAATCGTGTACACAAATAAGAATCAGGACCACGTTTTAAATATTTCAGATAAACGGTGCTCCTCTACTCAATCAACTACTTCCTGAGGAAATCCCACATGCCATCTTCATTGAGGCACAGGATCGTGGTCTGGGGAAAACACAGCATAATGAAGACTCTAGCTGCAAGTTCTATGTGGTTGTATGTACAAAAGAAATTCATTTCCTCCTTCAAGCAATATCAGATAGTTTTGAACATCAAACCTACTGCATGCTCTACAATTCTGTCCTGCTCTAGCTTTTTACTCACAGATCAACTGCTCAGCAGTTACCTGGAGAGAGAATTCAGTGTATGTGATGGCAATCAAGTGTTCTTCCACATCATAATGTTTTTCACAGATTTAAAAAAAGAGAGGCTTTGCTTGACAAAGATGAATAGCAACATTTAATTAAAAACAAAACAGAAGTGCATAAATAGCTGTGACAACTCCCTCTTCCCTATTAGGCCCTCATAGAACCATGTTTTATATTTGGCATCGGAACAGTTGGAACATGTAGCTTCCACAGCTGTTAACCGGCCTTGGTGGGACACACCGAAGGCTTCAAGCACAGTCAAGAAAGCTAAATGGAATGTATTTGACACTGGAGGAAAGCAATCAACTGCCATTCTCCCCACTCAGTGTGTTACAGATCAAAGTGCTTTCGATCAGTGGTGAACCGAAGTCTTTGTGCACAATTCATAACTGGATGTGAGAGATAGCTCAGTTGCAGACAGTCTGAATGCAGAAAGTCCCATATGAAATCTCTGACAAGTCCTGTTAAGAGGAATCATTCAGCAGAACCACTGCTCATCAATAGTAGACAATATTATGTTACACAGAACAATGATCAAAGGCATCTATTCAATATGGGCCTGCTAAGACCCCACACATCCTTGCAACCTGCCAAAGTAGGACAAAACATTGCTTGCCTTTGGAAATAGGCATTTGGTTATCAAGTATCGTAATTCCCTTTGCTATTAAAAAAATCCCAAGGGTTCAAAAGGCCGTAGTAGGTTGATGTGCTATAAGAACATTTTAGATACACTGTGTAAAGGAATGTAGCAAGTATTTCCCTCTTTGGCAACGTTGTCTAGGAAATCAGGTATAGCATTACCACACATTGCACACAGTAGTAGACTTTCATCCAGTTGAGTTATAATTCGCTTCAGCTTTTCTTAAAAAAAAATAGAGAGATGCTTTCATAGCATTTGGCCTCGACAGTTTCACACATGATCAGTTCCTCCGGTTAAACCTACCAGAGTGAAAAAAAGGGGGAAATCCCATCACACAACAATTGTGATTTTCTTTGCTTGCTCAGCTGAGAAAAGAGGTAGATGTTCAGAGACATTCTCTTTTGGTGCTGATAAGTGAAGAAAAAAAATAGTACAGGTCAACAGGCACCAGGATACTGGCCAGGCATCATCATGAAATGCAACACATTGGAATGCAGGTTCAAACTCTAGCTGCACTTTGGACTGTTTTTTCCGGCATCTGAAATAAATAAATACGTCCAATTAGTTTTACTTGGCTACATGCTCCTTAATATTAGCAGAGTGTGGTTAAGAATGTCCCAACGCAATACAAGAAGAACATTTCCTCTTTAGGGCAGAGATTGGTTGCTGCAAATAGGACTATGGGTCAAGCCCCCCTCCCTTCTCCAGCTCATCTAGTCTATCCCTCAGTACCCCACCTTGATCTGCAATCCCCCTCAAAATAGTGGCCGGAAGACATGTTGCATCACTTCCCATCACCATTTTGAGAAATGTTGCAGAGAAAAATGTGGTATTTAGCATAGTATGGCATTCTGTGGTACTTGTGGAGTTTTTGCATCATGTGCCTGGAAATCAGTTTGTTTATGGGAGTGGTAGGGGGCTTCAGAGTTTAGGACCTCATGCATACCATGGGCATACTTTGCCCACATCTGATTAAAGTCATGTTACTATTAGAAGTCCTCTATTCAGGTAAAACAAATTTGACAAGTTGAAGAGATCTGGCTTCTATTACATTGTCTAATAGCCTGCAGTACCTTGAAGAAATATCCTCTGCCTACCATGAAATGAAAGTTTAAAGGTTTCTACCAATCCCTTTTAAAAATCTGAGCACAACGGAAACTTACTCACTTACTCATCAACTAGCAAGATAAAACCATGAAACCTCACATCCCCACAAGGCACTCAGCTACGTTTTTCTAGACAGCCTACTGCTATCACTAGCCACTTATGCATACTTTACAAAACATGTACTACGGGCAATTATGAACCTAACCATGGCAGTATGAAATTTCCTCTCCAAAAGACTCATCTTTGCCAAATGAAGTTTAACAAGCCTCAGCTCACCTAATCACATCACTTGGCATGACAACCCCATGCAGCCTTGATTCCCATCTTCACTGCTGTTGAGTCTTTTCATCCGATATTGACGGATCTCCCTCACCAGTGTGTAAAAGGCATCTTCAACACCCTGAATGGAAAACACACTCAGGTCATGCTTTCCTGGGAATACATTTCCTTGTAAACTTGTCCCTTCTTCAGCTCTCTGGAAAAATCCCATGTCAAATTTTCAGTGATGTTCTTTCCCAAATCTGGGTCCCTCGACTCTACAAGACATGGGATTACGCTCCTCTAGCACATACAGTACTATGTATACCAAGGAATCTTATAGCACCTTTGAATCTAAGAGAAATAAGTGTATAGCACCAGATTTTGTGGATACCACCTACTTAATTTCATGCATGATTTACAGATAGTGCTTACAAAAGCTCATGCTTCTTTCTCCCAGTTAATCCCAAAGGTGCTACAAGAGTACTTTGTGTGCAGATACAGACTTACAAAGCTATATTAAAAGTTGAGTACCGTATATACTCGAGTATAAGCCAATACAAATATAAGCCGAGGCACCTAAATTTACCACAAAAACTGGGGGAAACATATTGGTTCAAGTATAAGCTGCGGATGGGAAATACAGCAGCTACTAGTAAATTTCAGAAATAAAAATAGTTAATAAAAATTACATTGAGGCATTAGTAGGTGAAATGTTTTTGAATATTTACATAAAGCTGTAATTTAAGACAAGACTGTCCAACTATTCTAACCTTCTTCAATGTAAATGTGCTTATGTATCCTTCCAATAATAATAGAGAGTAAAATAATAATAATAATAATAATAATAATAGAGTAAAATAATGGAAATGTAATAATAACAATAATAATAGAGTAAAATAATAACAATAAATAGAATAAAATAATAAATGTAATAAAATATAATGATGTAATAAAATAGAATAAAAATAAACTAAAATAATAAATTACCTTGCTTGAGTATAAGCCGAGAGGGGCTTTTTCAGCCTAAAAGAAGGGCTGTAAACCTCTGCTTATACTTGAGTACATGTGGTATTCTTTATCCAGAATGCTTGAGAGCAGAGACATTTTGGATTTGATTTTTTTATTATTTTGTTTCTGCCACATTAAAGGTGGGAGAAAATTGGTTACTGGAAAAACGTTTTTGATTTTAGAGTATTTTGAATTTCTGGATAAGGAATGCTCAACCCGTACTATCAAATACCTCATACTGCTGGGTGATTACATTTACGGTAAGTTCGAAACATATTAAAAGCACTCCAAGAAAGAAAATTGGAGAATTCAGGAGAAAAAAGAAATATCAATCTTCTCTCTAGTTGAAAAATTCCACTAGTCTCTGGGACAGAAAAGTGAAGACAACCACTGCTCTAAATTGATTTATCTATAGAGGGGAAAAAAAACACTAGCAAAACACAGGTCTGCAAATAGCACAAGGCACCAACCAAAGTTAAATCAGTAGTCCACACTTCCTACAAATGACAAAGTTAAGCAGGATGATGTTCCCAGAAGCAGGCTCCATCACTCTATGGGCTTCACAATCAGATTTGTCTGTGTATTATAGCAGGGCTGGCAAATCTCTTATGACTGAAGCAGGAGTACAAGAACTTACTTACCTGTCTCGTTTTGGCAGATGTCTCAATGAAGGGAATCCCATAGCTCTTGGCTACTTCATGAGCCTGTTTGGTATCTACTGTTCGTGTTGGCAAGTCACATTTGTTTCCCACTAACACCATTGGTACATCTTCAGAATCTTTTACCCTCTTTATCTGCTCTCTGGAGAAAGAGATGTGAAGGTGGGGAGAACACAATCTCTGTGGTTACGTCTGATAAAGTCTGAATTGCCACCATTCAATAGCAACTGACACGACCGCCGCCCTGACTTTTCTATCTTGGGATAGTGAAGTGACCTGCAGTACTGATGGAAAGAAGAGGATACTATCCCAAAGCCATACTATAAACTGGAGGGAGTCAAAGTTCTTCTAATGATATTACATTGATGATTTTATGTAAACTCCTATGTCCTTGATAAGACAGTGTTTGAATGCTGGATGATGACTCTGTAGAATAAGGGTCAAATCCCTGTTCAGAAATCCACTGTGTTACCTCAGGAAGCCACACTCTCTCATCCTCAGAGGAAGGCAAAAGCAAACCTCCTCTGAACATATATTTCCAAGAAATCCATTAAAGCCAAAACTTGGAAACGATTTGAAGTCACACAATAACAAAATTCCTTGATAAAAAGGGGGCATATAAATAAAAAAAATGTTCCAGTATGAACTAGGAAAATGATGAAGGAACTAGAAAAGTACCCTCAAAGCCTGTGTGTGTGTGTGTGTGTTCATTTCTTCCTCTTGCCAGGATATTTATCACAATTGTCTCTTGTTTCTTTAGTATTAGTCTGCAGAATTTGAACAGATAAGGGCTTTTGGTTGATAACGAAACACACACTGAAAAAGACTTTCTGGTAGTTACTAGTAATTGCTAAATGTAATTAAGAAGGCATGGCAAATGGTTCAATCCTAGTATGCTTTAACCAACTTTGTCCTGTCATCTTACCTGTAAAGATTGATATCTGCAAAAGATTTGCTGTTGTTAATGGCAAACACGCACAGAAAACCTTCACCAGTTCTCATATATTGGTCTCTCATGGCACTATATTCCTCTTGTCCCGCTGTATCCAGGATGTCCAGCAAACAAGTCTCTCCATCAATCACTACCTGCTTACGATAAGAGTCCTATGCGAAATCAAAGGCAGATTCAAAATCAATCCTCCAATTACTTCTTATAGCACATTTAAATATGTTTACTTCTCAAAAAATGAGAAAAATCACTTGGGAGTCAGGGCATATTGTCCAAGGCACAATGTAAACAAAGCTCCCATTGTCAAAGAATTAGGACATACAGTGTTCTAAATGTGTTTTGGGAACGAATAGGTGTATTGTTGTTTGGTGAATAATCTTCAACAAATTTCGAATCATTACATATCACAGTTTCCATTTTGAGTATTTCATGGTTTTAAACAGCACAACAAAGATAGATTAACGATAAGACTGCAGAAAACAGGTCTCTGATAATGGAGTGGTCTGTCTGACTGTTCTGCAAATTTCTACTCGTTATTTAATACAGCGACAGGCAAGTTTATGTGGGAAGGAACTGCATGAAAGATTGTACCCTGCTACCTCTGTACAGAATAAACAGGAGTTTTTTTATTTTGAAATTGCTACAAAGCAGCTACAAAAACCCCATACATTGCTTTAAGCACGAAGAAGGCACTCCCACCGCATCCTGTTGTTAAGGGGGGGGGGGAGAGAGATGGGGGAGGCAGCTTTTATAGCTGCCATACTCCCCACATTTGGGAGTCTAGTAGTAGGTATGGAAGTGGCAGCAAGGGGTACAAAACATAGTGCAAGATGCCTAACTGTTAAGCACTGCTGTTTTCATTCATAGCATCGTCTGTTCTAACTTTACATATGACCAACATGGTATTGAGGATACAAACTTAGATATAAACTCACCTCTATAGTAGGATCATATTCATCAACAAAGTGATTCTGGATGAGCTGGATGGTCAAAGCACTTTTTCCAACACCACCAGCACCCACCACCACAAGCTTGTATTCAGTCATGGCCCTCCACACGGACCTGTTGACAGAATGACAAATTAGCAGAATCAAGAGTTTCAAAACAAAATAAAAATAAAACAAGACTAAGCAAAATCTAAGAATTCATGGGAGGTAATTAGGGACCTAATTTTCAACTGTACAACAACAATGCTGCCAGACTAAGGTTGGAATCATACAAATTCAAACCACCAATATATGTGTGTGTGTGTGTGTGTGTGTTCTTTCGTTCATTCATTCATTCATTCTTGGGTAAACACAATTAGGTATGAATTCTACACTGAAAGTATGTTCATAGTCTATTTAATAAATGCTCATTCCTCTTCCAAAAAGCTCTTGAAAAGGATACTTTGGTTTAAATCTACTCTTGCCACAAAAGTGAATGGTGACTTTGGGGACATTGTATCACTACAAAGCATTTCATAAGGTGGTTGCAATGGCAAGATATTACAAACCCACAAATAACTTGGAATTTCATGGAGGTTGAAGCATTTCTCCTCAATACATGTGAACATAGCATTTTGGCAAGATTTGTTCTGAGCGGGTTTGTCTTTACCTTCCTCTGAAGCTGAGAGAGTCTGACTTGCCACTCAATAGGTTTCCATGAGTGAGCAAGGATTTGAACCCTGGTTTGTGGAGTCATAGCCCCCTTCTAGACTGTCCTTATATCCCAGGATTTGATCCCAGGTTATCCACTTTGAACTGGATTATATGAATCTCCACTGCCAGATAATCTGGGATAAGCAGATAACCTGGGATCAGATCCTGGGATATAGGGCAGTGCAGAAGGGGCCATAGTCCAACGCTCAAGCTGCTGCACTGTGCTGGCTTTCCACTTTAAGCATAGCCTCGCTTTATCGCATATAAAACTTTCCGTATGCAAGGGATAACAACAGCGGTTGGCATTTATGGGGAAAGTCAGAGACATGGGTATTTCAAAGCAACCAATGTGTGTGCATCTGGGCCTTAAAAGTCATCTGTCAACTGACACCCCTTCTACACTGCCATATAAAATACGGATGATTTGGTTTGAACTGGATTATATGACAGTGTAGACTCATATAATCCAGTTCAATGCCGATAATGTGGATTATCTGCTTTGATGATCTGGATTATATGGCAGTGTAGAAGGGACCTTAAGAGTGACCCCATAAACTTTATAGGATTTTCTTTAGGAAGGTGATTTTGCCAGTTCCTCTAAACTAGGGGTCCCCAAACTAAGGCCCAGGGCCCGGATACGGCCCTCCAAGGCCATTTACCTGACTCTCAGGTCAATCTATGTCTGAAACGATTTGAAAGCACACAATAATCCTATCTCATTATCTCATCAACCAAAAAAGCAGCCCCACACTTCTCATTGAAATACTAATAAGTTTATAGTTGTTAAAATGGTTCTTCATTTTAATTATTGTATTGTTTTTAAGTGTTTTTTCCCCACTACAAATAAGATATGTGCAATGTGCATAGGAATTCTTTCATTTTTTTCCCCAAATTATAATCCGGCCCTCCAACAGTTTGAGGGACTGACCTGGCCCTCTGTTTAAAATGTTTGAGGACCCCTGCTCTATATTATAGCCTGGCATTCATGGGCAGCACCCCATCCAAGGAGTAGACAGGGCTGGCCCTGCTTAACTTCCAAGGCCTGATGGGATCTGGGCAGGACAGTTACCAAGACTTAGGTTCAAGCAGGAACGCAGAATCAAAACACCCCTGACAGATGGCCATCCAGCCCCTGTTTAAAATCTTAAAAACTAGGTGCTAGAACAGGCATGGGCCAACTTGGGCCCTCCAGGTGTTTTGGACTTCAACTCCCACCATTCCTAACAGCCTCAGGCCCTTTCCTTTTTCCTCTCAGCCGCTTAAGTGGCTGAGAGGAAAAAGGAAAGGGCCTGAGGCTGTTAGGAATGGTGGGAGTTGAAGTACAAAACACCTGGAGGGCCCAAGTTGGCCCAAGCCTGCCCTACAACAATTACGAGGTCCTTGAAAGACTGAGGCGACCTTCCCTCTTTCCTCCTTCTCTCCTTATTTCTTTCTGAGTCTGTCAGCTCTGAAGCGCCTCTCTCTCACCTCTCAGACAGGCTCCGTGGGCTCGGAACGCCCTTCCACAGATCGGCCCTTCCGACTTGCCGTAGACTGACGTCATCACCCGACGCCGGAAGTGTTGGGCGCTGAAGCCTACTGGGAGAGGGAACATGATGCCCTCTTCCCTGAGTGTGTCCTGGAAACTGCGTTCGCTCCCTTTTTGTCACAAGGGGAAGTAGATGTTCGAGCCTATTGCAGGTGTGGTTTACAGTTCCTCATGCTGTGGTGACCCCCCAACCATACAGTTATTTTCGTTGCTACTTCATAATTGTGATTTTGCTGCTGTTATGAATCGTAATGTAAATATCTGATCTGCAGGATGTATTGCCATTCACTGGACCAAATTTGTCACAAATACCTGATACGCCCAAATTTGAATACTGGTGGGATTGGGGGTGGGCGGGTTAATTTTATCATTTGGGAATTGTAGTTGCTGGGATTTATAGTTCACCTACAATCAAAGAGCATTCTAAACTCCACCAACGAGAGAATCGAACCAAACTTGGCACACAGAACTCCCACGACCAACACAAAATACAGGGAGGGTTTGGTGAGCATTGATCTTGAGTTTTGGAGTTGTAGTTCACCTACATCTAGAGAGCACTGTGGGCTCAAAAAATGATGGATCTGGACCAAACTTGGCACAAATGCTCAATATACCCAAATGGGAACACTGGTGGAGTTTAGGGGAAATAGTATTGACATTTGGGAGTTGTAGTTTCTGGGATTTATAGTTCATTTACAATCAAAGAGCAATCAAAACCAGACTCTTCCATTGCGCTTTTGGTGATTAACCATATAATCTGAGATTGCTGCTACCCCTTCGGAGTATACCTCGTCCTCTCCTCGAAGACCTTTCGTGACCTCATGTCCGAACAGTTTCTCCTTCACAAATAATTGCTCCATCTCTATCTCACTCCGTGATTTTAGTGATTTTAGTTTCTTAGATTTAGTGTTTTATTCTGTACATGTGGCCTGCTCACTGTCACTGTCACTATCACTGTGTTATGATTGATTTTAATTTTATATTGTTTGCTGTATTTTTATGTTTTATGTAACTTATCAAGTTATTATGTGTTTTGATTTTAGTTATTGTATTGTGTTGTTGCACTTGGCCTCATGTAAGCCGCCTCGAGTCCCCATCAGGGAGATGGAGGTGGGGTATAAATAAAGTTTATTATTATTATTAGACATATCTGTTTCGACAGGCCTTTGATTGTTGATATTGCTGTTTTTAAATTGTTTTAAATTGTTTTTAAATTGTGTTAGATTTTAGTCATTCTTGTAAGCCACTCCGAGCCCCAGGGGAGTGGCGGCATATAAGTTCGAATAAATAATAATAATAATAATAATTATTATTATTATTATTATTACTAATCTCATCAATGATAGAATTGGGCCAAACTTCCCACACAGAACCCCCGTGACCAACAGAAAATACTGTGTTTTGTGATGATCTTTGGCAACCCCTCTGATACCCCCTGTTTGGGTATCAGCCAACCCACCGACGACTGAAGAAATAATTTAATAAATCAAGAAATAATTTTCTAAGCTCTACAGAGACACTCGCTGGAACACCTCAGCAAGCAAGAGTCCAAAAGTGGCAGGCTCAAACCCAGAACCTCAACTAATGGCTGATACCAAATGAGAGACTCCCCCCTGGGCACACAGAAGACTGGGCAACTTGGAAGGCGCTGAACAGACTGCGCTCTGGCACCACGAGATGCAGAGCCAACCTTAAGAAATGGGGCTACAAAGTGGAATCCACGACATGCGAGTGTGGAGAAGAGCAAACCACAGACCACCTGCTGCAATGCAACCTGAGCCCTGCTACATGCACAATGGAGGACCTTCTTGCAGCAACACCAGAGGCACTCCAAGTGGCCAGCTACTGGTCAAAGGACATTTAATAGAATACCAAGTCTGCAAACTTTGTGTTTTGTTTGTTTGTTTTTTAATGCAATACAACTGTTTTGGATCGCTCCTGACACAATAAATAAATAAATCCGAATCAGAATCAAAGAGTTGGAAGAGACCTCATGGGCCATCCAGTCCAACCCCCTGCCAAGAAGCAGGAATATTGCATTCAAATCACCCCTGACAGATGGCCATCCAGCCTCTGCTTAAAAGCTTCCAAAGAGGAGCCTCCACCACACTCCGGGGCAGAGAGTTCCACTGCTGAACGGCTCTCACAGTCAGGAAGTTCTTCCTAATGTTCAGATGGAATCTCCTCTCTTGTAGTTTGAAGCCATTGTTCCGCGTCCTAGTCTCCAAGGAAGCAGAAAACAAGCTTGCTCCCTCCTCCCTGTGGCTTCCTCTCACATATTTATACATGACTATCATATCTCCTCTCAGCCTTCTCTTCTTCAGGCTAAACATGCCCAGTTCCCTAAGCCGCTCCTCATAGGGCTTGTTCTCCAGACCCTTGATCATTTTAGTCGCCCTCCTCTGGACACATTCCAGCTTGTCAATATCTCTCTTGAATTGTGGTGCCCAGAATTGGACACAATATTCCAGGTGTGGTCTAACCAGAGCGGAATAGAGGAGTAGCATTACTTCTCTAGATCTAGACACTATGCTCCTATTGAAGCAGGCCAAAATCCCATTGGCTTTTTTTGCCGCCACATCACATTGTTGGCTCATGTTTAACTTGTTGTCCACGAGGACTCCAAGATCTTTTTCACACGTACTGCTCTCGAGCCAGGCGTCACCCATTCTGTATCTTTGCATTTCATTTTTTCTGCCAAAGTGGAGTATCTTGCATTTGTCACTGTTGAACTTCATTTTGTTAGTTTTGGCCCTCTCTCTAATCTGTCAAGATCGTTTTGAATTCTGCTCCTGTCCTCTGATTTAAATATAAATATAAATACTGTCGTCCTGAGCTGCTGTGAGGAAATGCGGCCCTGGTGTTAAATAAAAGCTTTGAGATAAAAGTTTATTCCCATGTATGGACCCTTTAGCAACCAATCTTAGCTATGGTGAATCTTTAAAGCATACAGTAATCATTTGAATATAAATACATTTATATTGAATACACATATCACACTAAGGATGTGATAAGCTTGTTTTCTGCTGCTCTGGAGACTAAGACATGGAGCAATGGATTCAAATGGCAGGAAACATTCCTCAACACTAGGAAGAATGTCCTGACCACAAGAGCTGTTTGGCTGTGGAATATGCTGACTTTGAAAGTGGTGGAGTCTCCTCTGCAGAGGACGGGTGGGAATGCTTTGTGTTTTTGCGAATGGCAGATTGGGGTTAAGCTGGATGGCCCTTGTGCTCTCTTCTGACTAGGGTTCATGATTTTATCATTTTGAAACACATTTGCAAATCTGGCTTACGTGTTTTGCTTATAATTCTGCAATACCTACTGTTGGAATCTTTAATCCCATTAGAGGAAAAATGACAAAAATATTAAATAGAATCCCAGAATGTATATGTGTTGGGGGTTGCCACCTTACGAAACTTGGCAGAAAAAGTTAAATGCAAAGATACATAATGGGCGATTCCTGGTTCAACAGCAGAACATATGAAGAAAATCTTGGGAGTCATGGGCAACAAGTTAAACATGGGCCAACAATATGATGTGGCAGCTAAAAAAGCCAATGGGATTTTGGCTTGTATAAATAGGAGTATAGTGTCTAGAGCTAAAGGCTACTCCTCTATTCTGCCTTGGTCAGAACACACCTGGAATATTGTGTCCAATTCTAAGCACCACAATTGAAGGGAGATGTCAACAAGCTGGAATGTGTCCCGAGAAAGGCAACTAAAATGATCAAGGGTCTGGTGAACAAGCCCTATGAGGAGCAGCTTAAAGAGCTGGGCATGTTTAGCTTGCAGAAGAGAAGGCTGAGAGGAGACATGATGGTAATGTATAAAAATGTGAGGGGATGTCATAGGGAGGAGGGAGCAAGCTTGTTTTCTGCTGCCCTGGAGACTAGGATGTGGGACAATGGCTTTAAACTGCAGGAAAGGAAATTCCACCTGAATATTAGGAAGAACTTCCTAACTGTGTGAGCTGTTCAGCAGTGGAAATCTCTGACCCAGAGTGCGGTGGAGGCTCCTTCTTTGGAGGTTTTTAAACAGAGGCTAGATGGCCATCTGTCAGGGGTGCTTTGAATGCAATTTTCCTGCTTCTTGACAGGGGGTTGAACTGGATGGCCCACGAGGTTTCTTTCAACTCTACGATTCTATGAAACTCAGGCTAGGGTCTTTTTGTGCACTGTGAGAAGGATCTGTAAGTAATCATTGCCACCCTTTCAAGTGTTAAGGGTTTCATTCATGGGCGGTTTGTGGTTGCCAAGATAAAACAATTTCAAATCAGGTAAATCTTTTTGAAACACTCTGTAGCTACACCCATTAGTTAATAAAGTAACCTTATTCTGGACTGGCAAACTGGTTCAGTTAGGCCAGTACAATGCCAGGCAGCAACCGTCCAGTCTCTGGAAAGAGTGGCAATTTCAAGTAAGGATGTACAAGTCCAGTCCTATAAGTTTCACTGTTAACCTATAAAAGCTATGAGCTCCTTTTTTGATGGAGCATGGATGGGAAAGATTTAGCCTTCCTACATGTTGTAACTATTTTGGAATTATTTTAAGAATCCTCAGACGGCTTGGTTGATGGTAAAAGAAGATATACGTAGTTCAGAGGACTGAAGTTTTTTCTCACTTCTCAAGAGGGCATTAGCTTTCAAATGGGGAACTTTCCCACACTTTAGCTCTTGTCTAATATTTTCACAAGTTCCCCATCACCACTTCCCCATGCCTATTGTGTGAACAAGGATAAGACGGCCTTTGAAGTTTTCTCCAGCTGTGATTCTTTAGAACTTTTCTTCTGTGCATTTTGCTCTAATAAATGTTGCTCTAATATTCTGGAATTCCTTGGAATCAATACAACTCCTACAATGTGTGCCTGTGCTGCTTAGAAAATATAAAAGCAACACTCCATATAAAGATATTTATTTTCTGTAGCACACAGTACTTTTATTTAAACAAACATGTATTGTGGACAGAAGAAAACTGACAAGAAGAGAATCAGATCATATGAAATGGGGTACCAAAGCTGT